ATAGAAAACAGAAAAACAATTGAAACTATCAACAAAACTAGGAGTTGGTTCTTTGAAAAGGTCAACAAAATCGATACTCCACTAGCAAAACTCACAAAAGCCACACTTCTTTTGATTTCTGAATTGCTGGTGCCATGGGTGTTGATTATGGATCCAAGTATAATGAAATCACTGACTATTTTACTCTTTTCTCCATTTATTATGACATTGCCTATTGATTATTGGTGAAGATTTTTGTTTTTTTTTTTTCTAATGTTGAGATGTAGAAGGAGGCTGTAGTCTTTTATCTTCTGTGCTAAGTGCTTAATTCCTTTTTCACTTTATGCAAGCAAGGTTGTTATCATCTGCATAAATCAGGTTGTTGATGAGCCTTCCTCTAATCCTGATGCCACATTTATCTTCAAAGAGTTCAGTTTCTTGAATGATGTGCTTAGCCTACAAGAATGAATAAGATACAAGTCTGACCTACACCTTTCCTGATTTTAAACCATGCAGTGTGCCTTTGCTCTGTTTGAACAACTCCTTGGTCTCAATGTTATCCATAGTTTGTTATGATCCACACAGTCAATAAAACATAAATATCTTTCTGATACTCTCTGCTTTCAGCCAAGATCCATCTGACATCAACTATAATTTCCCTCATGCCGTGGTCTCTTCTGAACCAGCTTGAATTTCTTGCAATAATCTGTCAATGTACTGTTTCAGCCATTTTTAAATAATTTTCAGCAAGATTTTACTTGCATGTGACAGTAAATGATATGTTCAACAATGTCTGTGTTCTTTTTCATCATCTTTTTTCTTAGAATGGGAACAAATAATGGATTTCTTCCAGTCTAAACTAATTTGGAGCAATTTTTAAATTATTTGTCTTGAAAAATACAAATGTGGTAAAGTATCCAAGTTTTGTGTAAGAAAAGTATGTTCATATTGGCAGTGCAAAATATTTTACAGAATATGAAATTATGTTTTTCAGTTGTAAATGCAAAATAGCTAAATAAAAATTATATGTATTTTTTGTTTAATGGTAGACTTCCTTTTAAGATAGTAGAAATGAATAAAACTGACTAGGAAATTTCTACTAGCAAGTTTGACAGCTGGATCATTACTTTTAAAAATGGAATAATTTGCTTACATAGCTTGAAATGAATCCTTAATAGCATCACCAAGGCTGTCAGTGATACAAAGATGCAGATTATCTATACATAATTAGCAATCTCAGAAAAATAAAAATTAATTTCTTTTCATACTCAATTTCACTTAAAGGAATAATTTTTGGGTCTAAAGGTGCTATAAAGTCTCTGAAGTCAAATTAAACTATTAAATTTAACTTTTAACAATAACATAAATAATCAAAACATCTATCTATATATGTTGTTGTTAGGTGTCATCGAGTTGGGCACACAGTGACCTTATGATCTGAATCCTCTCCTATCCTGCTCCATTCTCATACTTGCTGACACATTAGAGCCCACTGCAGCAAACCCTGTGTCAATCCACCCGGCAGAGGGTCTTCCTCTCTTTTGCTGCCTTTTCACTTTTCCAAACATGATGTCCCTCTCCAAGGAATAGCCTTTCCTAGCAACATGCCAAAGTATGTGAGATGAAGCTTTATCACATGATATATGCTTATATATATACACTCTCACATTCATATATATATATTTAAGGTTAAATAGGTGTTTCTTTTTCAAAAGGAACTTACCCTAAAGGAAATTTCTAGGTTTTCTCCTCCCCAAATATCCATTCCAGCATCATATGTTCCAATTTCCTGGAAATAATCTCTGTCTATTGAAAAAAGGCCTCCTGCCATTGTAGGTGTTCTGAAAGTCAATCATAGTATTATACTGTCAATAGAAGAAATCATTCTAAATTGAAAGTGTTTCATTTGCTTTTAATAGTAGTATAACCCTCCACCACCCGGCTGCCGGTCTGTTGTACTGTGATAGTCTGTGTGTTGTTCTGATTTTGGGAGCTATGCTACTGGTATTTCAGATACCAGATGCATCAATTTATAGGTACACAGGTATCAAAAGAATTTCCAAGTTGAGACAGATGAGGAAGCAGGACTGGCTTCAGAAATAACAGGACTTCGAAAATTGCATGAATAGTAGTTGAATACTGTTCGCTATTTGTTGTTGTTGTGTACTGTCAAGTCAGAACCAACCAGTGGTTTTCAGGGTCTGTACAGGAACAGACTGCCCAGCCGTCTCCCACAGAGCAGCAGACAGACTTGAACTGTGCACCTTTGTGCTGGCAGTGCAATTCATTACCACTACGCAACCAGAGCTCCCTGTCGTTTGATGTAGTGGCAGAAAATGAGAGCAGAGAAGAGATCGTGAAGGCAGTGCAAAGTCGTGCAAGGTTTAGATGTGTTGTACACAGACTTTGCTAGGAGTCAGAGTTGACCAGACAGAATGGAACAGCAACTAGAGAATAAAATGCAAACTCAGATATTTGTCAGATGCTTTTGCAGGCTCACAGGGGCTGTAGGTATTTATATTCCATGGATTTGATCCACCCCCAGTGACACCCTCACATTTTCTGCTGGGCATTCCTCCTGTCACAGTTTCTGGTCTGTTCCTCACTCTTCCCACCTGTGGTAACTTCCTTGTTTGTTAGGTCCTGAAAGAGCTTCCCTCTTGAACTACCTTTTTTAAAAAAACAAAAACAAAACAAAAAACCCAAAAAACCCCAGCGTATTTTAGGTTTATTTTTTAAAACTGTGATTTAAGTGAAGGTATACAAAGCAAATTAATTTTTTATCCAACCATCCACAGACATTCTGTTCTATAGTGTTAATTTCTATTCCCATAATATAACACTTTCCTCACTTCTTCCTTGCAATTGATTTCCATTAATACTTTTTTATCTCTGTCTTCCCTTTCTTTAGTTATGCTATGCTCATCACCCTCTTAGTGAATACTGCCTTTCCCTTCACTTATTTTTTTAATTTTTTTTTTGTGTGTGCGTGTATGGTCAAATCAGATCTGACTGGTACAGGAGGAGATTGTCCCTCCTTACCCGGCAGAGAATCTGGTGGATTCGAACCGTTCGCCTCTGGGATTGTAGTTGCAACTCCTTGCCACTAGGCCACCAGAGCTCCCCTTCCCTTCACTTATTTTAATGTGTGCCTGTTATCTACTCAAAGAGCCCTGATGGTGTAGTGTGTAATCTGTCAGGCTGCTAATCGTGAGGTCAGCTGTTCAAATCCACCAAGAAATATGGGAGAAATATGGACCTTCTAGTCCCGTAAAGGTTTACAGCTGCAGACACCCAGCGGAGGGCTGTTATGGGCTGGAATCAACTCAGTACCTCTTAGCTTGCTGGTATACTATCTGTTTGCTAATTTTCATTCCTTTTTCCTTCCCTTTCCAACCCTGGTAACCATTCAAGAATGATTTTGTGTGCAACCTCTCTTTAACTTGTTCTAACAAGGGTCTTAATCAGTATCTGTCTTTTTGTGTCTGATTTGGTTCACTCAGCATGTCCTCTAGATGCACCTATGTCTTAGATGGTGTACTGAACTGTAGGCTAATGAGAGGATAGGACCTTTCTAACAGGAGAGGACACAGGACGCTAGGGGAAAGGGTGTACGGTTAGTGAAAGCTCATGTCAATTTTACCATGATGGCCTCGAACTTAAGCAAATGTAGAGCTGGGGATCCCACAAAAGAGTGAAAAGAACATTGCAGACTGGCTCTGAGGGAACTCCTAATTACTAACAAAAGCAGGAATAAATTGGTATAAATCCAAAGATGGCTCAGAATATGTTAAGGCCTCAATTCAAAGGTTCTGAAAAGAAGGAATACTTTCATCTATCAGTGAAGGAATACTTTCATCTATCAATAACCAAGTATAGAGCAAAGGAAAAAGTTTAACAAAACTTTCTTGTATACTCTGTGTTAATTCTAGTTATTTATATTTTGAAACAGCTTTTTAAGTTTTCCATTCAGTAAACATCACTGAGATACTATAGACCCAAACTTAAGAATTTCCCATTCTACTAAAATGATCCAGTCTGAGGAAATATTTTCTTATAATGACACTTTAATTAATTAGGAAGTAATCAATTTAAGCTTAGTATTATCTATCTTTAAACAAATTAAAACATAAAACTGACTTAATTTGCAAACTTTTGTTCATTTTATTCACTCACTCACTGCCAATGAATTTGGAACTGACTCACAGCAGATGCCCTACCGGGTTTCTGAGGCTGTCAATCACACAGGAGCTTATCCGTCTGCTTCCCTTGGAGCCCCTGGTGGATTTGAACCGGCAAAGCGTCATGCACTTTGGGTTACCAGCACAACTCCCTAAGGACTAGGTCAGAGCTCAAAAAAACACACATGTCTTTCCTCATGTATACTAGAGATATAGACATGGGAATTCATACTTTTACTAGCTGGTGAGAAGGAGGGATCTTTCTTTAAAACACTGATATGTGAAAAATGACTCTTAGTTATATATCAAGTACTTCACCTTTCTCAAGATGTATTTGTTATTTGATGTCATCCCTACTTTTTTTTTACAATCTTCTGCTAAGAACTTATTAGGAAAAGCATTTGACAAATTAATTACCTCACAGGAAGAGTTCGATCCCCTTTCCTTCTGTCCATTTCTCTTTGGGGAACAGGATACCAGCGAAAATTGAGCTTCCAGTTGAACCCACCGTAGGTCATATCTGAGCCTGCCATGTACTCAAAAGTGTCGTCGCTGATTACATCAATGATAGGACACACTACAGTTCTCCTAGAATCATGGAAGCAAATAAAAAAATTTTTTTAAAAAATCCTGTGAAACAACTACATTAACAACAGTACAATATTTTTAAAAAATGCATTCTAAGCTGTTAAAGAAGATGGTGAAAAAAATTGCTACATTCTCCCAAGCTGGTATAATAACAGATTTCTTGACTTCTATCCATACCTTTTTATAGTCCTAGCTTTACATACTTGCCAGATAGAAAAAGACTTAAAATAGTTCTACAGTTTTCCAAATTAGCACTTCAAGGTATTTAAATAGCAATTTTTTTATGTTTACATTTTAAAAATTTCTTGCTATTAAGATGTTACAGCTAACATATTTCTATACACAGCATTTCACTTTTGCTTTAACAATAAACTTCTAGGAGTGAGACTATGACGAAAGGAGCTTTTTGATGGCATTCTTCATTGTTCTACTGAAGTGTTATATAAAAATGTGTATGTTGCTAGCTACCATATCCTCATGATGCTACCCACTCTGGATGCTATTTCATTACACTTTTTGCTAATATAATAATGATAATGTCACAAAAATTTTTTTTTAGATTTGTCTTTACTAATTTTTTAAAAGCTGATTTCTCCTTCAATTGGTACTTCTTCATATAAATTGACTATACATTTGTAAAATTTTCTATCAGCACTGATTGGGGGAAAAAAAATCTAGAACAGCTAGCAGCTTTACATAATCACAGTGCCTCGCAGAGAAAGCAGACTTACTACTCACTGCCTTTACTGAAAAGACACGTCTCCAGGCAGCTGTATTATTCCACAGTATATAAAATCCTCTCCCATCCAACTGATAAGACCAAGAATGGCCATCTAATCAAAGGCAGTCCAACCATAGGCATCCTGAGGCTTGGAACAAACAATGAACTGACCGTGATGCTAAGGTTGAGCTCCGTGGGTGTGTGTAGCACATCAAATGCAAAGACTGGCATGCCCCAAACTCCAAAATGACAGCATGTTACAGCCCAAGATAGTGAGAAGGTGGCCTCGGGCCCTGGGGTCTGGAGCTGCCTCAGTCCCTGATGACGACCTAGGTCTAGCTCCAACTGATATGGAACTTTCCAAGATATTTGCTCTTTTCTTTCCTGTGGTTAACATGAGTGGTTTCTGCTTCATGTAAACCCAAAGAGCATTGAAAAAAAAATCCCAACTATACAGAAGTCTTTTGGATCTACACCAAGGCAGTCACTGTCTTAGAGAAGGAATTACTTTATCAGCACATACTCAGAGCCTGAAAATTTGTTCAGTGTTGGCTTAAAAATGATAGTTGAAGTAAATTATTTCAACACATCAGAGCTAAGGAGTGAAAAACAGTCTCATGCATCCAATGAGCATCTGTCACGTTTCTGTAACTTGGCATTTATTGAGGGCTATCAAATAACTTGACAAGTGCCAGCCCCCAAGTTTACTACACTGTGAGATAAGACAACTAGCTTCTGATATGAAAAACCTTTCACCAAGTGTCATTATGCATAAACTGTTAGGAACCACAGAACTGTGGAGGTTGCGAAAACAGGAGTGCAAGAGGAAATTATAAACTTGTAAAACAGAAAGAGAAACATTAGTGAACAATAATGGGGGGAAGACCTTTAGATATGATTACTTAAATGTTCTTGTCTTATAAAGAAATGGTAGGATTACTTATTGTTGATGAACAGTCTGAGGTACAAAGAATGGCTTGCCCAAAGCATACAGCTATTACATGGGAGAGGAGGATTTTTTTTCACTAGTCTGTGCTCTTAATTATTATCCTGATTCTTTTCACCCTTATAACCTGTGTTGTTGTTGTTGTGTGTTGTCAAGTCAGAACTGACCCACAGTGGACCCTTCAGCAGACCCTTCAGCGGGTTTTCAGAGGCATAAACAACACAGGAGGAGACTCTCCATCCTTCTCCCATGGAGCAGCTGGTGGATTCAAACTGAGTGCCTTTGGGACTGCAGCACAACTTCTTACCACTAGGCCACCAGAGATCCCCTTATAACTTAAAGGTGAATCAAGCATTAGCCACAACACATTTAAATAGCATTTACCTCTTTTGTTACAATTACAAATAAGTATTTTTGGTTTTATGTTTGTTTCTTTTTCCATTCAAAATTTAATGCTTGATTACTAGAAAAAGCTTATAGTAGGATTGTGTAGAAAAAGAGGGGAAAATCATCTATAATTCACTATAGCATAAACATTAACATTCTAGCACAAGTGAGCAAATGCACTTACAGATAAAAACTATTATTTTGCTTTTCCCTCTCCAATAGTTCTAAGCCTCCTTGCTACTTAACGTATTGACTAGAACATTCTGGATTAAACAAGAGTGCTGATAGTGAATAGCATATTGTTCCTGTGTTGGTTTGTTGTTGTTTTTTTTCTTTTGTGGAAATTCCTCTGGTATTTACAACACAGCATGATATGGGATATTCTTTCAAATAATAAGGAAGTGATGATTTCCTCTGAGTTCTTGACCAGGAAGATTAACTTCAATTTCCAGGATCTTTTAAGGTTCTACTAAAACGACTTCATGCTTTTCCTTATTTCACAGATTGTCCTGGTGCAATATATTGAATACGGTGCTTTTTTAAATATAAAAACCATTCTTGTTGGAAAAACTAATTATCATAAAATTATCAGGCCTTATATTGCTGGGTTAGGTTGGCCCTAGTTCATTAGAAGTCTCTGCAACCATACTCATTATCAAAGCAGGTTAACTCTATCTTTAAACTGGTATATCATCTTTAAAATCAGAAGAGATGTTTTCCTGTTTCTGCAGACTATGCTGTTAAGGGAGGTACTGCAGGCTTGTGTGTTCCTGGACTAGAGTCTCAAGGATGCCTCTAGAGTCCAGGAACTCTTCTCGGGGGCAGAAGTCAGGCAGGTGTGTGCTCAGCCCATGGCCTAAAAGCTTCGCATCGCCTAAGCTTTGTGATACTATAAACCACTGTGAGCACGGCATCCCCGCTTGAGTGGCTCTGAGTAGTTCCTGTGGGATTACGGGCAAGGCAATCCTGAGCACCCGCTCATGGTACTCGCTGTGCCAAAATAAACAAACACACACCTTTGTCTCTCATGGAAGCATCTCAAATCTTTGGGCAGTGGCCAGGAAACTGTCACTATTAGCTTGTAAGTAAGATAAAATCTTGGTCCCTTCACAGATCTTGACAAAGTATATGTCTCATCATCTGGAACATTACTGTTAATACGGTACACTGCCTGCCTGGGGACATGAAAATTCTCAAAGGCACCACGCAAATGGACAATCTGAAACACCGGTGCCAGAGATGCCCTGGAGGGGTGGGCGTTGTCGTCTTCTTATATTTATTTCTAAATTACAATCTCATTCCCAACTTAATTCTGTTAAGACAATGACACTTTGCTTTCCATGGTGAAATCAAGTTTGATCTTGTGACCATCTCTGGCCAACGGAACGTGATTAGACACAACCTAGGACACAGTATTTCAGAAGATGTTAGTAAGGCGCCATTGCTTTCACTACCTGCCACTGTTCTTTTCCTTTTCACTTCTCAAGTACCATTTCAGAATGAGAACGACTTCAAGCAGAATCAAAAGCAACCCACACCTAACACATATGACTGTAAGAAACACTTAGCCAAATAAATGCTTTATCTGCTCGGGGCCATTTATTACCACAAACATCAAGTCTTCCACTTCATAAAAATGGGATAGTCTTCTATTTAATTTGTTGTTGTTGTTTTCAGAGTATAAGTTTTAATTTGTTGTTGCTGTTGTTTTCAGAGTATAGGTTTACACTTTTTTTTTGTTAAAATCGATTCCCAACTATGTGTTCCTTTTTGAAGCTACTGTGAATGGGATAGTTTTAATTTTATTTTTTGAATGTTAATTCCAAGTGTATAGACATACAACTAATACTCATATACTCATCTTGTATCCTATAACCTTTCTGAATTTGCTGAGTTCTAGTTTTTGGTTGAATGTGTTTTTTAAAAAGTAGGTTTATCAGGATCTTCCATACACGAAACCAAGACGTCTAAGAGTGGTTTTACTGCTTTCTTTCCAATGTGAACACCTTTTAGTTACTTTTCTTGTCTAACTGCCCAGATAAAACTGTTACTATAAAAATGAATACAGAGCAGAGGGAGAAGTGTAAAGGAAATGGGAAAGAGCCAGTGGGGACCATTGGTGGGTAATGGTGGTAATGATGGGCATAGTCCATAATGTCAATGAAGGAAAATGTGACACACACATCCCCTACGATGTACACGAATGGAAAGCAATGTATACGAATTATTATATGCATACTAATGGATCTTGGCTGAAAGCAGAGAATACCAGAAGAATGTCTATCTGTGTTTCATTGATTATGCAAAGGCATTTGACTGTGTGGATCATAACAAACTGTGGCTGACTCTGAGAAGAATGGTAATCCCAGAACATTTAATTATGCTAATACGAAACCTATACTTGGACCAAGAGGCAGTAGTCAGAAGAGAGCAGGGTAACACTGCATGGTTCAAAATTGGGAAGGGTGTACACCAGGGATGCATCCTGTCTCCATACCTTTTCAACATGTATGCAGAGCAGATTACCCGAGAGGCTGGGCTCTATGAGGAGAATTGTGGCATCAGGATTGATGGAAGTTCTATTAACAATCTCCATTATGCAGATGACACAACCCTGCTTGCTGAAACAGAGGAGGACCTCATGCACTTGCTGCAAAGGGTCAAGGACTGCAGCCTTCTGTATGGACTGAGGCTCAATGTCAAGAAGACAAAGATTCTCACCACTGGACCAATTGGCAGCGTCAGGATGGATGACGAAGAGATTGAGATTGTTCACAGCTTCAGTTTGCTCGGCTCCACAGTCAACACTCTTGGCACCAGCAGTCAGGAAATCAAAAAGCGTATCGCGATGGGAAAGTCTGCTGTTAGGGACCTCTCTAAAGTACTCAAGAGCAACAGTGTCTCTCTGGAGACTAAGGTGCGCCTGATACAGGCCATGGTATTTGC